GGTTTGGGCTTTTGGGGTTTTGGGTTTAGGGTTGGGGGTTTAGTGTTAAGGGTTTAGGGTTTAGGGATCCAGCCGCCATACACCCCAAAGGTACCCAAAGGAGCCATATATGCTGCCATTATGGATTTGGCGCCCAAAAGACTGTCCTTATCATGGCTTCGGGGGCTTAAGTCCATAACAGTCATAATCCTTGTTTTTTTGGGTGGGATCCTCCAGCCCAAAGAGTCCTATGTACCTACACAGTAGAATGTCGGGTTCCTATATGGAAGTATTCCCCATAACAGTACCTGGGACCAGTTGGGTAGAGACTTGAATCTAAGACATGCTCAGGTGGGTAGTTACCGTTACGGGAGCCTTATAGAAGGTCAATATACCTTATAGAAGCCTCATAGAAGCCCTATATACCCTAAACTCCCCACCTGTAGTTTCCTTTAGTTTTGAGGCCTCCGATGAAGGGCTTTTCTCAGGGATCTTCGGGTCTTAGAAGGATTACTAGATGGGTTTAGGGGCTCTCAGGGGTGTTAAGTCCCCTGTAGTTTCCTCCAACTAAAACCCCGAACCCTAAATCCCAGATCCTAAACCCTAAACCCTAAAACCCTAAACCCCCTAAAATCCCCACCTGTAGTTTCCTCTAGTTGAATGCATCGGAAGGTTGAAACCGACTCCGACGTCGCGTGCTTGAGTGTCAGGTTTACCTAAGACTGCAGAACCCCAAAGGGTCCAGGGTTCAAGGTTTAGGGGCCCAAAGGGTCTTAGGGTTTAGAGTTTAGGGTTTAGGGTTTAGAGTTTAGAGTCTAGTTACTGATATGGGGGATTCTGCCCCAAATCAAAACAGTAATTCCTGATATAGAAACCTTACATTCTACTATATAGGTACTTAGGACCCTTTGGGGACTACTATGGGGCTCCAGCCAAGATTCTGATTCAGGATTTTGTATGGTTTCGGTAGGGATGTATTGTGTTTTTTTTTCGGGAATTACTTGTAGGGTTTGTCTCAGTGTTTCATGAGGGTCCACATGCCTACTTCGGACATACTCAGTCCTTGGTAGCATGTGCTCCAGAGACCAGTGCAAAACAGCAAACCGTGAACAAGGCCTGTCTTTCGTCAGGTGGCTCGTCCCCATAATATAGAAGAATAATTCAATTACTTACATTATTCCTGAGGGTTCCTCCTGATAATTATAGGAGAATGGGCCCCAAAGCCCTATTCTAATTATTAAGCCCCTACAGTATCCTGCCCCAGCCAACTCAGAACTGCTATTCGCGTAGAGTCTATAGGTAGGTTTAGGGTTTAGGGTTCAGGGTTTGGTTTGGCTTCAGGTTGGCAGAGCCTGTCCATGTAATTCACCGTCACCGCGCCAAAGCGGGTCTAGGGTTTAGGTTGGACACTGCCCCCACCCAGTAGCATTTGAACAGTATTCTTAATATCGATAGAAAAGGCCTTGAAAAGCAGCCCTATCATAGACTGTTACTGTATGGGGGCAGTCCGGGTCCCATTAAACCCATCTACACAAGCCTGGACACTTGAGGGGCTGGAGTGGAAGTAAGCCCGCGCAGAGCTTTACTCTTGGCCCTGAACCCCTAAACCCTAAACCTCAAACCCTGAACTCTGCTGGACAGCATAGTAGTAGTGGTGGTAGTGGTGGTAGTAGTAGTAGTAGTAGTAGTAGTAGTAGGTTTTAGGTCTATTTTGTTTGGGGGGAGTCGGGTTTGTGTTTCGGGTTGGGGTTTGTACTTTATTGACACTGAGATCGCGCCGGCGTGCCCCGACGGCTACGATAACGCTCGCGCCACTGCTGCTGGATACGTGCTCTGGAGCGTATATTGCAGCTCCTGCCATTTTTGGTGGGGCATATGCCAGCAGTGCGGCTCTGTCCAGCCACGCCCCCTGCGGCCGATAGACATGAAGCGAGCCACCGCACCGGAAATCTCGGCCAAAGCCTGCACGGCTTGCAAGCACGGCGAGTACGTGCCCCAGCCAGCAGACATCCCCGAGCAGCTCCGCGATCTGAAGCCACGGGTCCTTCGTGCGTTGCGGCCTCTCGACATCGACGTGGGCACGTTCCAGCGCGCCAAGTACGGCTACCGCATCCACAGCCCACAGCTCCATGATCAGCTTCGCTTGGGCCGCCGACAGCGTAGATGACAAAATCGAAGCCTTACGCAAGCGGAAGGACCGCGACAGCGCACCCCTAAACCCCAAACCTTAAACCCTAAACTATGAACCGCCAAACGCTAAACTCTGAACCCCTAAACCCTAAACCTTAAACCCTAAACTCTGAACCCCTAAACCCTAAAGCTTAAATCCTAAACTCTGAACCCCCAAACCGCTCAAAGGCCTTCTGACAGCAGTCTTCGAAGTCAGACCTGGCAGGATTCGGGGTTCAGGGTTTGGGGTTGAAAGTTTCACTTTCGTGTTAGAAATGGTGTCGGGGCCTTAGTAATTAGAAGAGGGCTTTGGGGGTTCCTTATTCGAATTGTAGTTTAATTTACCTATTCTTGCCTCTACGTTAGTGGTGCGGATGAAGCGTGGCTTTCACAGTTCATAGTTTGAGACGTGACAGTGATGATGATGACGATGGTGGCGGTAGCAGCATCCAGAGGCCGGAAGTAATGCGCATCATATACCTATAGTCTCCATTGTAGTTCCTTTTTTTGGTTTGACCAGTTTCATAATTAGGATCCTATAAGGTAACCCCAAAAAGGAACTACAATGGAGACTATAGGTATGCCGCTACTGAACCCTCAAGCTCAAGCTCCACTCAGTAGGTTCTACTCTTTAAACCCTAGACAAAGCCTAGCAACTCCTAGACCGTCGCATAGTACGAATGACGACTATGATCACTGCTTGCGTCTGTGGGTAAGGCCATTGGACTTTTCGAGGAGAAAGCAACGACGACCATGAAGAAGGCCTGGGTGGGACTTGGGTTAAGGGTGAGGGTTTAGGGCTTATAGGTTCTAGAGTGTGGGGTGCAGGTCTGGAGGCTAGAGTTTAGCGTTTAGGGGTCTGGATTTGGGATACGGAGTACGAGTTAATTAGGGCTTGGAAGCATGGATGCTGATTACATTGAGAGTTTCGGACACAGAGAGATCTCGATATGTGCCCCAAATGGTAGGATCTGCATATTTGTCATAAAGTACCTTACAATTTCATGCGGGAGCTGTAAAGCCCTGTACTTAAAATAGAGAACTCTTCTAAACCCCATCAAACCCCCCCCAATAATGACACGTAAGGACTTCCACGCAAAGTCCCCCTCCACACGTTTTTAGGGTTTCGGGTTTAGGGTACCCCAAGGATGGGCTCCTCCAGAGGCGTCTTGAAGGGTTCGTTTTGGATTCTTTTGACGCTTCCGCTTTAGGGCTCCTTTCAGGGTTCCCTCAAGGCATTGGCCTTCAAGTTCACCTTGTTTCGAAGCATTCAGAAAACTCTGTTGCCCTCAACCCTAAACCCTAAACCCTAAACCTTGTATTGAAGCATTCAGAAAACTCTGCACCTAAACTCTAGGCCGTTCTTGCGGCCTTTCTGGGCGGAATTCCTTCGATGTCGATTGAGGATGTAGGAGGTAGGTTTTGGGTTTATGTGTTGATTTGTTCTTATGTTTTGATGACCGTGGACGATGTAGTACTCGCTGATATGCAGGATCTTTCTTACTATTCAACCTTTGTGATCTTCAACGTTGTTGTGCTTTTTGTTTGTTTCAGTTGCAGTCATCTTTTGCATATCAGGAACCTTATCACTAAGTTTCGATTTCACGTCGGCAGTCTTATTCGTACGATTGACGCCGCTTTCTGGGCATGAATAATTCGTGACGCAGAGAGCTAGTTCGAATTTGCGTGGGGCTTAAATAGTCGGGGTGTGAGGCTTTGAGCTTGAGAGTTACGGCCTTGGGGGTAAAGTTGTTCTTTTTTGGGGTGTATGGTTTACTCTATATGCGAGAGCCCTGCAGTGCCAAGGTCAAGTCAGATGTGACCCGACACCGCTACGGCAAAGCCGTCTTGCTTGCCCTTAACCCTAAACCCTAAACCCCTTTCAGCCCGCTCCACAGACAGAGGTTTAGAGCGGAGAGCAGGCCCCTGTACCCAAAGGCTCCATCTGCCTTGATAGCAGATACTTAAGCCGAACAGGGGGTCCCTTTTTTAGGAGGGGTCCCTTTGTTAGGTACTTTAAGGCCTCTTAATCCTTCAAGGATCACCTGCCACACAGTAGGTTGCGGTCTGTTTAGTCCAACGTAGACCATTTTATCTAACATACTCCCAGGAAAACCAATAACCCTGAGATAAGGAATAATAGGGGGCTTAAGACTATGATATAAGGTATATTGCTTAATTAAGGGGTATTGGGTTCCCTGGGCTGGTATCTGGGCTTCAAGGGCAACCAACCACATTTCGACAACAAGCTTGCCAATTCACAGCTACATCAGTTTCTTCATGGAAAACGGAAGCCCCGCAAGCTTGTCTAGAGCGTTACGACCGCCACGGCACAGAAGTTCAATTCTCGAACATACTCCGTGAGGGTCTGAGTCGTCTTTGTGTGCGGCTGATATTTGAGCAGACCAAACCTATAGCTAGAACTCCTTAAACCCTTAAACCCTCAACGTCCTAAACCCTAAACCCCCCAACCCTAAACCCTGCATCAGGGCAGACCCTTTCAACTCGCACGCTGGCCAGGTGATCTTTGTGTACGGCTGATACTTGAGCAGAACCTATGGCTAGAAGTCCCTAAATCCTTAAACCCCTAAGGTCCTAAGCTCTAAACCCCTAAACCCTAAACCCTAAACCCAGCCACTACAGGAACCCTTAAAAGAGCCTTAAAGGAATGCGAAATTCTTGGGCAGAGGAACCCTAAACCCTGCATGAAGAGCGACTTTTCTAAAGCTCACGCTGGCCAGGTGACGACGCTTACACCCCTAAGGTCCTAAACCCTAAACCCCTAAACCATATAAAACCTGCATGAAGGGCGACCCTTAGGGTTTAGGGTTTAGGGTTTAGGGTTTAGGGCCCTTTTAAAGCGCACGCTGGCCAGGTGACGATGCGCACTTAGACTCGTCTTTGAAGGCCCTCGGCCTTGTGGGCAGCGGTGGAAGGCCAGCCGTTTGGTCTCTAGGTTTTAGGGTTTCGGGGGGGTTTAGGGGTTTAGGTTTTAGGGTTTCGGGGGGTTGGGGGTTTAGGGTTTTGCCGTTTGGGGTTTGGGATTTCGGGTTTAGTCATGTTATTTGCTGAGGTTCCTTGCGCTATTGTAGCAGAATGTGATCCCGAGCCTTATTCTAACTGATAAGGCGCCTACATGATTCGGATGTAGAACAAGCCCCTTACGGGCGTATAAGACTGTGGCACTTAAGTTCAGGGTGTAGGCAAAGGTTTCGTGGTGTTGAGGTAGGAGCTAACTTTTCTAGACAAAACCCTTTCGGTTGAATGTGCGCGTGGGTCGACAACCCAACCTTATGTGGTTTGTTATTTTTATTAAAATTTGAATCCCGAAACTCTGAATAACCCGAAACCCTAAATAAACCTTCAACCCTTGCAAAGCCAGTACCAGGCATCCTAACATGCTGATAATCATCCAAAACCCTATAGACCCCAAACCCTTTAAGAATCCTCCTAGACAAAAGAGCATGCAGGGTTTAGGGTTAAGGAACCCGTAAGAAGCCCTACTACAGCAGGTATCCCAA